ACACACACACAGAGACACACACACACATAGACACACACAGACACACACAGACACACACACACAGACACACACACACAGACACACACACACACACAAACACACACATAGACACACACACAGACACACACACACAGACACACGCACACACAGACACACACACACACACAAGTTGTAACAACCAAAATGTCTGCAGACATTGCCAAATGTCCCGAGGGGAAAAATCATCTGTAATTGAGAACCACTTCTCTAGAGAAGAAGAACCTCGGAATATAGGAGCTTGTGTTGGTTATAATGAAATATAGATTCCAAGTGAGAACCAAGTTGTGTAAAGTTAAAGGTATGTTGTCGTTTTTAGGTGCCGTCGAGTCGGTTCCGACTCGTAGCGACTCTCTGTACCACAGAACCAAACACTGCCCCGTCCTGTGCCATCCTCACCACGGTTGCTATGTTTGAGCCCATTGTTGCAGCTGCTGTGTTGATCCATCTTGTCGAGGGTCTTCCTCTTTTGCACTGACCCTCTACTTTACCAAGCATGATGTCATTATGCTGATCAGAAAACTTGATTTAGCTGCGATCAACCAATTTATCAGCAAGAATTTATTGAGCACCTACATTGTCCCCAACATTGGGCTACACATTATGAGAGGAAATAAAAGAAATATCGGCTACAGTCACAGGTTTCAAGGCATGTACAGTGATTAGTAATTTTTAAAATTGAAATACTACCAAGGACAAAAGCATAAAGAAAAATCTGCCCCCAAAGATATTGTTTGGCCTAGCTGTTCAGTCAAGACTTAAATTAGCCATCTTGTTCTCTTTGTAACCATGGACAAGTTGTTAGCTCTCTTGAGTCTCGGTTTCGTCTTCTATAAAGTCAGGCTAGCCAACACCTGTTTTTTTGAGTGTGAGCTGAGCTAACGCATGGGGATGTGCTGAGCATGATGTCTGGTCCCTCGAGGGGGTCAGGAGAGGTGGGCTTCCTTTCTCATTTCCCTCAGTTTTGTTTTTGGAAGAAGTGAAAACCTTTCTGTGTCAATGCCTCACTTGATTCAATGAACATACCAAACGTTGTTCAGGCCCTTCAGGTTCAAGATAAACATCCCTGACCGCCACCCAACTTCCTTCCTGCCCACACAGTTTGGTTTAAAAACACTCTTCAGTGACTTCAGGTAGAGTTCATTTTTCTGTTCTTAACACTGTCCCTCTCTCATCCACCTCTCTGGCAGCGAAGCTTCCATAAACCGTGCTGGAAAGCCCTCTACTCCAGGCTCGGGGACGTGGGAGTAATTAGTCCCCAAGGAGAGGAGCAGGCCAGCGCCAGGCTGCGTATCTGCCAGCGAAGGTCTAGAAATCCAGAGCCACCCATGGCCTAGGGTTTTCAAGAGGCTTCCAGGGGCGTCTGGGGCCCCCTTGACTATAACCTGGGCTCCTGAGAACTATGATCGATGCTCAAATGATAACACCCCCAGAGTGTACTACTTAGAACCCCCCAAGATCCCATGCCCCTGCTTTTCCTTATGAGTTTCCGTCTACCTGGAATGCCCCCTCCACCCTCAGCGCCATTTTGCGTTTGGTTCTGATTCATGGTGACCCTGTGTAAAACAGAAGAAAACATTGCCTGGTCCTGCACGTCTTGAGTCCATTGTTGCAGTCACTGTGTATTTCAAATGCATCTAACCCAGGGGGCTTATCTACCAGCACTATATCAGGCAATATTCTGTTGTGATCCATAGGATTTCCGTTGGCTGATTTTTTGAAGTAGACCACCAGGCCCTTCTTCCTAGTCTATCTTAGTCCGGAAGCTCCGCTAGCCACCATGGGTGACCCTTCTGGTATTTAAAACACCAGTGACATAGCTTCCAGCATCATAGCCACACTTAACAAACTGACAGAAGGGTGGTGGATTCCACTTTTCACGTGGCTCAGTTATCATCACTCCGTGACGCCTTCTCTTCCCCCCAACCCCCCAATCTTGCGCTCCCGCCCCCACCTCCACCCCAGGTGAAAATGAAACTCTCCTGTCTTTGCTCCCTGAGCGCTCTCTCCAAACCACCATCAACGCACTTGTCACACATGTGGCCATCTTGAGGACAGAACCTCGGCCTCCTTCAAGGTCCCTCTCCAGTGCCCAGCCCTGACTTTGCACACAGTACGTCTGTAGCAGTGGCTGATGGATGGCTGGATGAGTAAAGGCGTGGACATAGATTTCATGGAGACCTCTGGGCCAGGTTGCCGCAGAGTAGATCAGTGAGTCCAAAGCAACTGCCTCTTTGGCTTCCTTTAGGTCAGTCTGGAGCAAAGGTTTCTTTTCTTCTTTTAATTTTTATTGTGCTTCAGGTGAGTTTACAGCTCAAGTTAATTTCTCTTTCCAAAATTTATACTCATGTTGTTTTGTGACATTGGCTGCAATCCCCACAATGTGACGGCACTCTCCTCCTTTCCACCCCGGGTTCCTGTGTCCATTTGCCCAGCTCCTGTCCCTTCCTGCCTTCTCACCTTTGCTTTTGGGCAGGTGTTGCCCGTGTGCTCTCGCGTATTTGATTGAACTAAGAAGCACGTTCCTCACACGTGTTATTGTTTGTTTTATAGGCCTGTCTGATCTTTGAAAAGTGGGCTTCAGGAGTGGCTTCAGTTTCAAGTTAGCAGGGTGTCTGGGGGCCATGGTCTCAGAGGTTTCTCCAGGCTGTGTCAGACCAGTAAGTCTGGTCTTTTTTTGTGAATTTGAACTCTGTTCAACATTTTTCTCCTGCTCTGTCCAAGACTCTCTGTTGTGATCCCTGTCAGAGTGGTCGGTGGTGGTAGCTGGGCACCACCTAGTTCTTCTGGGCTCAGGCTGGTGGAGTCTCTGATTCATGTGGTCCTTTAGGCCTCAGAGCAAAGGTTTCTTGATTTAGTCACAGCAATGCTGAGCAAAAATAGGTCTGATGGGTGTTGAAGACAAAATCCACACCCTGAACATCTGTGACTATCGAACTCCCATGATACACTTAGCAGAACGCAAGGAAGGACCCTAGGGCCTTAGTGTCCTCGGCAGGCTGCCTTCCTGGGCAGTGTTGATGGTTGGCTTGTTGCAGATCCCCTGTGCAAAGATGGACCTGCTGGTAGACCCTGAGTCTGCCGCTGAGGAGGCTTAGGGCCTCAGGAATTGGGATCTCTTTGGTGAGGTATTGCAGAGCTCTCCTTAGATACCAGCAGTGAGAAGCCATGGTGTCAGCGTGCCCCTAGCTGGGCAGTGAGATGGACTTTCACCAGTGGTCACTTTGAGTGGACGTGTGTACCGTGCACCCATGCACCCGGCCTCAGCTGAGCCAAGTGCTGAAGTTCTGTGTGCAGCTGTTACGAGTCCTCAGGTCCCTTCTGTCGATGCTGGTGGTTAGTCAGAGGATTTTCCCTTTGTCTTCAAGAATCTGGCGTGGTCGGTATTTGTCCCTCTCCACCCCAAACCCCAAATGAGAAAAATATGTGGCAGAGAGTAACCCCGTGGGCGTCAAAGGAGAAAGCAGGCTCCATAAACTGCATAATATGTGGCATGTACTTTCCCTGGGGTAGGGTTAAATCTGACACCTGCTTGAAGCTCCAAAAAGGTCCCCACCACCCCAGCTGAGGTTTCAGCTGTTTCTTTAATCTACAGGGCTATCTCAGTCCAATTGATCTTGCTTGTTCCTCTTTCTGTGGTAGACCTGAGGACTAGGATACCAAAACCAAACCAAACCTGTTGCCATCAGGCTGATTCTGACTCATAGCAACCCTAGAGGACAGAGAACTGCCCTGTAGGCTTTCCAAGGAGTGGCTGGTGGATTCCAGCTGCTGACCTTTTGGTTAGCAGCTGAGCTCTTAACCACTACACCTCCAGGGCTCTATGAGGACTAGGATATAGACTGTGAAATCCTTCTAGAAAAGTAAAGCACCCTTTCCTTGTGCTGAGGGGGTCAGGGAGAAGCCACAGGGAAGGGCAGGTCCCTGGGGGCCGCTGGGGGGGCTCAGGGCCCACTCATCACCACCCTCCTCTTGCTTCTTTTATCGACCCCACACTGCAGCCTGAGCAACTTCCCAAAACCCACACTTGCTCCTTTCACTGCCCTGCTTAAAACCCTTCAGTGGATCCACGCTGCCCGTAGGATGGGGCGAGGGTCTTGGAACGTGGAGTATGGACCCTGAAGTGCAGCTCTCTCTTAGGTTAAAAGTGTTCCAAATACAGAATAACCTGAATCAATGTTACATGGAGATGACCCTAGATGCGCCTGGATCACACCAAGGTGCCCGTCCCTAAAACAAATAGACCGTCCACACTCATTGTTCAGGTGGCCTTTGAGACCCAGGGGACGGACCAGCTGGAGAGAGGCCGTGGGCTTATTTCTCTCCCAGAGCCTGGAGCCGTCCCTGGTGGTGAGAGTGTAAGAGAGAGGTTGCAGGCTAGATTTTGGAGCCTGGCAGCTTGGGGTCATCCCTTCCCCTGCCACCTAGGAGAGATCTGACCTTGGGCAAGTCCTGGAGCCTCCATTTCTTCTCACAGTTGCTGTGAGGAGTGAATAAGGCCATGCTTTGAAGTGCCTGGTACAGAGCCTGACAAGACAACAAGGAAGAACCTAGCATGTAGCAGGTGCGAGTCAATGAGCTGTGGGATCTAGAGCTCAGGGTCGTTCTGTTGTACGTAGGGTCACTATGAGTCAGAACCAACTCAACAGCATCTGACAAGACAACAAGGAAGAACCTAGCATGTAGCAGGTGCTAGTCAATGAGCTGTGGGATCTAGAGCTCAGGGTCGTTCTGTTGTACGTAGGGTCACTATGAGTCAGAACTGACTCAACAGCACCTGAGAACAACAGAACTCAGGGTCTCAGAATCAGTGACCTTAGTAAAACAGCTTGTATTTATGGAACCCTGGTAGTCTTGGAAACCCTGGTGGTACAGTGGTTAAGAGTTCGGCTGCTAACCAAAAGGTCAGCAGTTAAAATCCGCCAGCTGCTCCTTGGAAACCCTATGGGCAGTTCTATTCCGTCCTACAGGGTCGCTATGAGTCAGAGTCGACTCGATGGCAATGGGTTTGCTTTGGTTTTTTTTAATAGTATATCACCAGTTTATCCATGAAAAATGTATAAATGGACTGTAATGGGGTCAAGATTATTATTGTCAAATTTTCTTAGGACTAGATTTGAAATTCTAAAAGTAATTCAATTTCAGATTCTGATTTTAGTTACTCTGCTGTCTTCTGCATCTCTTATTTGTGGATAGTTTTCTAATCAAAGTTTAAAAGTGATAACCCTATAAATCAGCCACTTCGTCAAAACAGAAACTCTTCCTTTTTGAACTTAATGTTTCATATCCAAATTCAATTTTCATGAATATTTTGTACCCTCGGTTTTTTTAGGTTATAGGGCCATTGTTTTTAGCTTGTTTATTTGCTTTGTTTTTCCAAGTAGACAATCTCCGGGTAAAAACATGGACCACTGCCTAGTAAAGATTGGCGCGCAACCGCTGGGGCCCTCCTCCGGAGGACACCTAGTGACCCCACCCATTTCTTCCCCAGTCCCTCATGGTGGCCCCATTTGACCATTTTGGAGACATGAACCCACCAATTTGTTTAAAGCAATTGACACCCTACTCTGGAAAATGCACACCCAATTTTGCAGCTATATTTCCCCCAGAGGGTTGGTAGGCCCCATGATCACCCAAGGTACCCTTAGGTTGAGTGGTCCCAGGTTAAGAATCGCTGCCCTGAGATATTAACTGCTAGTAAAAGCTTAGTATACACACCCCCAACTCCTCCATCTCCCAGATGTACTTGCCTTTTACCAGGAGTGAACTTGGCGCAACTGAAGGGACTCCGGTTGTAATGGTGGAACTTGAATTTCGGACTCTAGCAACAAGTATGCTGTAGAGAATTCTTGGGCCAAGGATCAAGCTCTTACTTATTATTTATTTACTGTACGGTATGCTTAATTTTTAGGAGCCCTGGTGGCATAGTGGTTAAGAGCTCGGCTGCTATCCTAAAGGTTGGCAGTTCAAACCCACCAGCCACTCCTTGGAAACCCTGTGGGGCAACTCCACTCTGTCCTGTGGGGTCGCTGTGAGCTGGATTCGAATCGACGGCAATGGGTTGGACTTTTTTTGTTTGCTCACTTTTTATCTGACATTTTCAAACACACTCATGGCTCAGTACCAACACATCCCAAAGCCCCCAAATCAAGGACTTAATAGCTGGAACCTTCCGCAAACAAACTTTGTCCGCCAGGGGTATAAACACAAAATGGAAATTGCCCAAGGTTAATGCTGTGCTGTTTTTACAGGAGGAAAACTCATATTCTATCAGTGAAGTGGGAGCATATCTGACTGACTCAAATCCAGGTTAGTACTTAGAGAACGGCTTTCCCGCTAATGATGGCATTTTCTCATCCCGTTGAGCCCTCTCATCTTTGATGCTGCTTTCCAGAAACGGACTGAGAGTAAACAGCTGTATGACTTTAGGGAGTTTACTACATCTTCATCTGCTCCTGAAGGAGGTGGGACTAGATTACGCCTGAGGTCATTATTAGCAACAATCAAGAAGAGTTCAGTGACCTTCTGACAGGTCTGCTGCTGATGGTGCAGTTTATCCCATTCTCTTGGAATCATGGAGTCCCTGGGTGGTGCAAACGTGCTCGGCTGCTAACCAAAAGGTCAGAGGTTCGAGTCCACCCAGAGACGCCTCAGAAGAAAGGCCTGGTGATCTACTTCTAAAAGATCAGCCACTGAAAACCGCATGGAGCACAGTTCTACTCCGACACACAGGGGGTCCCCGTCCGACTCACAGCAGCTGGTTTTCTTGGAATCATGCATTCATTCAACTCAAATGCTTTTGGTGCCTGCTGCTATAGGTGCCAAACCCTGTATTAGGCGCTGGGACTCCGTGAGGATCCAAACAGACGGTCCCTGTCCTCAGAGACCTTACATTCTAGAAGAGCGAGAGAGACCACGGACACACACATCAAGTGACAGTGCAGTGCCAAGTGGTGCCACGTGCCATGAGGACGCGCCAAGCAGAGCGAGGGGCAGAGAAATGGAAAGCTATTTTAGATGGGGTCGTCAGGGAAGCGTCTCCAGAGAGGTCATGTTTGAGCAGAGGCCTGAAGGAAGTGAGGAAATAACCAAGGAGATCTCTAGGCCTGGGGAAGCTTTTGACGGGTGACGGAAACAACAAACACACAGACGCTAATGGGTGCAAGGACCAGCAGGGCCCCCAGAGAGCAAGGGAGGCAGCAGAGGGGGTCTGAGGGAGGCCAGGGGCCAGAGCAGGTAAGGCCTGTAGGCAAAGCAAGGTGAGGACTTTGGATTTCATTCTGAAATGTGGTTTGATGCCATTGGAGGGCGTGACGTAAGGCGTTGGTGTGTCAGGCTCACTTTGGTTGCCGTGAACAGTGCTGCCCATAGTGTGTGCAGCAAGGTGGACAGAACCCACACTGTGATCAGTTCTAGAGAAATAATGCCCCCGTTCAAGTCAGGTGCATTTCTCCGAGGCCTCAAATGTTCTCCTGGGAAGTGCAGACTTAGACACCAGTTGCTTTCAAGTAGATTCTGACTCATAGCGACCTTAGAGCGACCCTATAGGACAGAGTAGAACTTCCCCTTAGGGTTTCCAAGGAGTGGCTGGTGGATTCGAACTGCCGACCTTTTGGTTAGCAGCTGAGCTCTTAACCAATGGGCCACCAACAAACCGTCATTGAGCATCTCCTCCACGCCAGGCATTGAACTAGGAGACTTCATGTCTGCTTTCTGCTTTTCAAAGTTCGATGCTGTGGCTGGCTTGAACTTATTATTTCGTTCATTAATGAACACGTACTAAAGAAACGGACCGAGAAGTGAACATATGGACAAATGTCTGTTTAAAATATTAGCTCTACAGTATTGGCATTGTTCAAGAGTGTGCTGTCAATGACGATTAGTTAAATGTAAGAAAGATGTCATAGTTGACAACTCGCTTTCATATACTTTAACCCCTTAGACCGGTCTCCCAATATAGGCTGTGGAAACATATTGTGAAATAGTGTGAAAGTTAACAAAATTAGCTAATATTATCACTAGGCATGGGCCAAATTTTAACCATCAATAGGGCAGTAACCTCTCAAATGCAGGGAGGGAAAAGTCAGACCAGAAGCTGGTTTAGAGACTGAGAGAAGGGAAGAAAACAGTTCTAGGTCCCGCGTCTCTGCTTTGATTCATTAAGGGGTCATGTGACTGAAAGTTTCAGGGAGCAGTCTTACTTCTCTTTTTCCTGAAGTGTTTGTGGGCACCACTCTGTAGCTCCCAAGCATTGAAATATTTCCCACTAGCTCTGTCCCCAATGATTTAAAATAACTGAAGAAAACATTCCCAACATTTCTCATTTCAATGTTATCACGTTCCAATTTACATAAGACATCCCCCTATGTATGACAGAGTACCAAAAAAGTCCCCACACAGCACCAGGGTGATTTTTCATGGGAAGAAGGTGGCAGAACCCCAGAAAGCCAAGTCTGAAAGGAGATCATTTGACCACGCACGGGTCACCCAGCAACAGCTGGACTCAATGAATGTACTCCAGGATTCTGCCACATCTGTATTCCACCTCTGTATTTTCAGAGAGAATTTATCAAGGAAAGAAAAGCGCCATGGTGTGGTTTGAGACGATGGTCGGGCATTCCTTCAAGTGCGTGAGTGAGCAGAGCATCAAGCTGTCACCTCACCTTCAACTGAAAACAGTGAATGTCCAACTTCAAGCCTTTGATTTTGAAGGAGACCGCTTTGGAAATGGTGAGTTGTGGGTTCATCATGTCACAAACATAATTTCAGAGGCCCAGGAGTAGCACTGAGTTATTTTTTGTCTGAAGCTGTCTAAGGGGCAAGAATCCCATGAGTTTCCTAGAATGGGATGATCCTACAAAGCTCTTGGGGTTGAGTTTCTCTGGCCCCCTTTCTCTCCCACCATTCCTTTATGACTCAGTAAACCAAAAGCCAAACCTGTTGCCGTAGAGTCGATTCTGACTCACGGCGACCCTGTAGGACAGGGTAGAACTGCCCCTCCAAGGCACGGCTGGTGGATTCCAACTGCCAACCTTCTGGTTAGCTGCTGAGCTCTTAACCACTGCACCGCCAGGACTCAATACCAACCTCAAAATCAGATACCTTAGCCCACTCACGTCCACTCTCTTCCAGGCCACATTCGACTAAGACAAACTCATTCAAAACTGACAATCAGCAGAATATGTTCTCCTTGTCTGACCCAAACGCACGTTCTCATTCACTTAAACACACACCCACCAGCTCAATCAAAAACATCAGAAGACACCACCTATGACCACAGCACCCCCTCCCCACAATGTTTACATGCTACTGGGCATGGGTGGACTCAAGTGTGCTCGAGAATGCTTTAAAGATCCTGTGTATTCGTGATTCTAAAATTACAACGATTTCAGGGTAGATTCTATTCCAGTGACAGAGGGAAAGGAGAAAGATGCAACAATTCGAGATAGAAATAAACTCTGCAGGGTCCCTCGACTCAGTTACAAGCTGTCCTACCTCATCATCAGCGTTAATCTCCTTCAGCTTCAGCTTAGGGGTTTACCCACCACACACAGAGCTTGTCTGGTGACTGACGGGGAAACAGGTCTAGGAAGTGGGCAAGGGGCAGACAGGGCAACCTTCCAGAAAACACTGTCCTCCCTTCCAGGAACACAAAGTGTTCCAGGGGTTCCTGCATCTGGCCAGGAGGCTCCCGAACTTCCATTTCTAATGTAACCCTCTCACAACAACTCAACGACATTATGAGTGCCTCTCAGTTGTCAAAAGTTCTCCATGAAGCTAGAAGTTTCGCCATAAATTAGGTGTTTATAAAGCAAAGCTGAATTCGCTTTTGGCTTTCATGAGAAAATTAAAGATGTCCCTGGCAGGAAACTTCTGGCGTGCTCGGTGGAAGCATTCAGCCCCGGAAGGACTAGGCGCTGCTGGCCGTGGTGTCCTGATACCTGCAGATTTCTCTGCGTCCTCTCACCTGTGCCTGCGGCTTACACCTTCACACGGGGCAGGACTGGGTTTGAAAACGTCCTAGGAGTTGTTGCCCTCGTTTTGCCACCCGGTCTCAAAGCTCCAACTTTTGGGGAAACTAATTTATTTCTGTTAAAAGAATCATTTATGAAGGTTTGGAAAAAAAAAAAAAAACTCTGTAATCACGTGATCCTAGAACAAGTTACCAGCTTGCCCTTATTCCTCCTCAGAAGCGGCATGTGAAGCAGGAAGTGAACGGGTCTGAGAGCTCTTAGCGGCAGAGGTTGGCAATCCAACTTTTTGCAGCAGCCCCACCTGTTTCCTGTACAGGGCTCACAGTGAGAGATAGAAAAACTATGTTTTTTCTTTAAAAAAATTTTTTTTAGTTTTTTTGAATTACCATTCACTAAATAGTTCCCCAAGCAGGAAATGTTAGCGTTATCCTTACCCACACTCCTTCCTGTACCCCTCATACAAACAGTCACAAACCCCCATTGTCCTACCTCCAAAATATTTCTCTTGTTCACACCACTGTTACGGCTTCAGCTCACCTCCGTATTCCCAGTCTGCGCTTCAGATGTCACTAAAGAAGCCCAAATGTCAAAACATATGTTGCTCGGTGAATAACACTTTCTACCAGAGAGTAAGGAGCCCTGGTAGTGCAGGGGTTTAAAGCACTCGGCTGCTGTCCGAAAGGTCAGCAATTCAAACCCACCTTCTCCACAGGAGAAGGAAGTGGTCATTTGCTTTTGTTAAGATTTACAGCCTATGGGACAGCTCTACTCTGTCCTCTAGGGTTGCTATGTGTCGGAATCAAGTGGAAGGCATGCAACAACAAATGGAAGGGAAAAAGGAACGAGTTAAAAAAAAAAAAAGTTATAATACAATGTGGTGCTTTAAAAGGCATGTGCAAAGGGCTGCGGAGCTGGGAGGATGATGTGGTTCACACAGCCGTGGGGACAGGGATCAGAGGAGGCCTCGATGCATGACCTTCAGACAAAGTCTGGAAAAACTGGAGAAGAATCCAGCAAGTGTAAGTGTATGGTTTGGTCATCCCAAACCATAGAAGCCTGGATGTGAGGGCGATCCGGCTGTGACATCTGTCACCCCATTGATGGCCAGGGTTGATCTGCTGATCTGGCTGGCTAGGCGGTGTCCCCCCTTCCTCCCTCACTGCTCCATGAGTGTCCCTCCTGAAGCTTCGGGCTTGGTCAAAGAGGCTGACCTTCCCTGACAGAGGAGAGGACCATCCTTCTATCAAGGGTATATGAGTAGCTCCCCCGCTAGACCCTCCAAACAAGCTCTTGAGGTCCAGACCGTAGAAGCCTGACTCCCGCAATCTCCACCCTCCTTCCTATAATCCTGGGGTCCCCGGGCTGCCGAAGCAGCCTCTTTGAGGCATAGTGTTTGGGTGGAGAACTTCTGCCATATCTGTTGATGCAGGTCCCTGTACCCAGAGTTGAGAAACAGGGCTCCAGAGCTCACCCTGGCTTGAGAATCAGGGCACAATAGTGATCCTGACCCTCTAGACCAAACACAACCCAACCCAACCCAACCCATTGCCGTTGAGTTGATTGCTACTCAAGGTAAGCCCATGTGTTACAGTGCAGAACGGTGCTCTATAGGGTTGTCTTGGTTGTAAGGAGCCCTGGTGGCACAACAGTTAAGTGCTTGGCTGCTACCCAAAAGGTTGGTGGTTCGAACCCACCCAACAGCTCCACAAAAGAAAAGACCTGGCAATCAGCTTCCATAAACATTACAGTCTAGAAAACCCTATGGGCAGTTCCACTCTCTCACATGGGGTCACTATGAGTCGGAGTCGACTCGACGGCACCCAACAACGACAATCTTTACAGAAGCCGTTCTCCAGGCCCTTCTTTTGCGTTGCCACTGGGTGGGTTTGGACCGCCAACCTTTAGGCTGGTAGTCCAGTGCAAACCATTTGCAACACCCAGGGACCATTCTAGACCAAACCAGTGTTTCTCAAAGTTGGATCGGCCTCCCAGCCTGCGTCAGAATGACCTGGGCTCCACCTCAGACCCACTGAGTCGTAATCTCTAGGGCCTGGGGCCTGGGAATCTGCATTTTAATACACTCCCCCAAGTGATTAAAAGCACTGCAGGTTTCAGACTCATTGCACTGACCCTTTCGCCCCCATTTTCACCCGTCTGAATGTTGGAGGCAGCAGGTGGGGGCCTGGCAGCTCCCTCTCTCCCTCAGTTTCCCCCTCTGGGAAGCTGAGGCACACAGGACCAGTCTCCCTTCCCAGCGTTTGTGACCAGGCTATAACACCTGTCACTCTGACTTCAATTGCAGCGGATGCATGCTTCAGTGACAGAAGCAGAAGAGAAATCCCTGGGGCCGTGGGCCTGAGTATCACAGCACTGTTAGTCTTTTTGCTAACAGCATGCCTGGTGGCCAGCAGGAGGCCCAGTAGAGGATATGAACGCATATAAGGCCCCACCTTCCTGAAAATGGGCAAGGTTAAGGCCTTGGGAATTCTGGTTTTTCACATCCAGCCTGAAATGAAGGGACTGACTTCTCTAGTCGCCCATCCCAATGTGATTAGCAAACCTAGCTTTCCACCAAAGGGCCATCCGAAAGCTGGTGAAGGGGGACCCCACCCCACTTCCTCCAGTTGGCTTGGGTAGGCCATGCCCAACGGGCTTAAATCCCCCTTCCACACCTGCATAAAGCAGGCCTGGTTGGGAGAACTAGAACTAGGGGACAAGAGACAGGGACAGATTATCCAATAAGCAAGGTACGTACACATGGATTCACTTGTACTTACTTACTAATCTGTAGTGCACAATTTCATCATCAAAGATTTCTATCAAAGATGTGATGAAACCTGTGTGAAACTGTGCGCTACAGATTAGTAAGTAAACACAAGTTAAGTCTGTGTGTACCTTGCTTACGGGTGAACCCGGCCCGAGAGAGACAATCCAGGTGCTTTAAGAAGGAGAAAGACAAATACTGAAGGGGGAATTGTGGAGAAGACATTCTGTCGGAAACTTCACCGAGTCATCCTGTACATTTTAAAGTCTCGATATCCATGATTTAAAAAAAATACTACTTTAAAAAAATGCATTTCCAAGTAGATTCTAAAGTGATTTTAAACTCCTGAATTTTGCTCAAGTTCTGGTTGACTTAAATTACAGATAGTCATACTACAATTTTTTTTAAAGACATCCTACAGTATTGTTATGTATTCTTAGTAGAGAATTAGAAAACATCGCCAACACTTCATTTTTTTAATGTAAAGCACATACCAAAGAACCTGGCAAACAAAAGACGCTCGATAAATGTTAGTTCTCTAATTTTTTCACCTTCATTTGTTCTCTGCCGGTTTAACACCTTTTCTCTGATTTGTCTCTGTTTTTCTTTAATTCTGCTCTACTCTTATACATTTATTAACTTTATTGTTTTTATTTTGGGCCATTGGGGAGAGGCAACGTATTAAAACAATCAGAAATGGCAAACTAGGAGAGGTAGACCTACCCACATTATGACCCCTTTCCTTTCCTTTGCGAACATTTACCAAAAAAAAAAATTAACCAAGAAATTACCAATTGAGAATGACTGATATGAGGAGGAAAACATTTCTATCAAAATGTGGCTTAGACTGTTATTCACGGTTTTCTATTATTTTGGCTGTTTAAATATGATAATTAGGGTTTTTCTTTCATGGAAAAGGGAGAGTAATGGGCTTCTGGGTGTTTTACCTGTTATTACTGACAGGAAATTTTCTTGTTTTTCTACATTTTCCAGAGGTGCCATTCATTCTGTTTAACAGGAAGTTCGCAACAGTTGGCAACCGTCCTATAACCATGCTTACCTGAGAAATTTGCTGGCCTCCCTGGGCCGTTTTTGGTTCTCTCCACTTTCTTGGCAGTGACGGGTGGTGAGCGGGGAGGGCACACAGCAGCTTCAACAGAGCTTGGAGAGTCCCTGAGCCCTCTAGAGTATCAGGAAATTCTGGTTTCCCTTAAAACAGGAGGATGCTTGTGAAGAGCCGGATGTGACTCAGACTAAACAGGGAGGCAGGGCTTCGGAGCGTGAGGTCCCTTTCCATCTCCCCCCTCAAACAGGCATCAAAAGCACCCCACTCCAGACTCCCACGTTGGCATTTCCGCCTCAAGTGCCCTTGAAAAGCGGTACATTGCAGAGCGTGAGAGGTGTGTGGAAACCTCTCCTACAGCCGCTGGAGGGAAGAAGGGGAATTTAAACATCAAGAGCGGAGGGATAAGACCGTAACCTGTAACCACTTGTTGTCCAGTCGCCTCGGACTTGCGATGTCCCCGTGTGTGTCAGAGTAGAACTGTGCTCCACAGGATTTTCAATGGCTGATTTTTCAGAGATAGGTTGCTAGGTCTTGGAGGCCCCTCTGGGTGGACTCCAACCACCGACCTTTCGGTTAGCGGTTGAACACTTCTGTGTCCCGTCCCTCCGCAGAGGGCTAAGGCAGTTCACTTTAATTTTCCTTTCTGCCATCTTCAATGAGCGCTTTTGGGTGACGGCTGTTGCTCAAAACCATTAAAAACCCGTTCCCGTCGAGTTGATTCTGACTTACGCGCGACCTTGTGGGAGAGCAGAACTGCCCCAGAGGGTTTCCAAGGCTGCCATCCTTACGGAAGCAGACTGCCACATCTTTCTCCCACAGAGCGGCTGGTGGGTTCAAACTGCCGACCTTTTGGACGGTAGCCAAGCGCTTAACTACTGCGCCACCAGGGCTCCTCTGTGCTAGTCTTAGACAAACAAAATCTCCGCTATTCAGCTTATGAAGAAATGATATGCTTAGCACTGGCTAACCAAAACCAAACCATGGCCATCCAGTTCATTCCGACTCATAGCCACCCTATAGGACAGAGTAGAACCGCCCCACAGGGTTTCCAAGGCTGTAAATCTTGGCAGAAGCAGCCTGCCACATCTTTCTCCTGCGGAGCAGCTGGTGAGTTCAAACCAACGACCTTTCGGTTAGCAGCCGAACGCTTTAACCACTGCGCCATTCCTTATCCCCTCCATGCCAATTATCTTTAGAATTAATTTGAATTAACATTCTAGTAACCACAAAGAGCAAAGTCTTCATTTTAATGACCAGTAAATAATGCCCAGATGTGTTACTCACTCTGAGTTCTGTCTACTTCCCGGGGTGACTGGGGCTCAGGCAGGAAGCCTCATCGGAAGTCCCGGATGGGAAGGTGGTGGGATTGGGGCTGAGGCAGATGGTCTGTGTCTCAGGAGGCCTCCTGGGTTTCTTCCCGTGTTGCCTCCAAGCCTGTCCCCTCTGGCTGCAGGCCTTATGAGGAGACCCTCTGGCCCTGATGCTTGCCGATGCCCAGTCGGGCTATCGGCGTCTGTGAATGAGTCTCAGAGGTCCTGCAAGGGCTTTTCTGTCCTCTGGGCCTCACTTGCCCCCTGCCGTTAGCCCTTCTACTACTTGCCTGCCTGGCTGGTTTCAGCTCGGTTTTTCCCTTCTACTGAGGGTAGAAGGGACACCCTGCACTTACGGACCCGCTGCCCACCAGTACACTCGGACTCATGGAGACCCCATGTGTGTCAGAGCAGAACTGTACTCCATAGGGCTTTCAGTGGCTGATTTTTCAGAAGCAGATCGCCAGGCCCTTCTTCCAGGGCGCCTCTGGGTAGACTCGAACCCCCAACCTTTCAGTTAGCAGACCAGCAAGTTAACCATTTGCACCACCCAGAGACTCCAGAAATAATAGAAACCTTCCCTAATTCCCACCTGTAGATTAACCGTTGCTAATTTTGATATATTTCCCTCCCATGAATATTATTTTACATCATAACTGCAGGCATAGTGAGTATACAATTTCTGTCCTTTTCGCCTTTACCTCATAAGCGTTTTCCCTTGCTGCTAAAGACTCAAAGTCTCATTTTGATGGCTGCCTTAATATGCTATAACATTATCCTATAATTTACTTAACTATTTTATAATTATTGAGAATTTTAATTGTTATTGAGTGTTTGTGGTTATTAATCATGTTGTGATTAATTTATTTATATATGTGCCTGAATTTTTTTCTCCCATAGGGTGACTTTTTAAGTCAAAAATGGAGACAATTTAATACATGTACATGGTAAAAAAAAAAAAAAATTAAGCACTACAGAAATATATGAAATGAAAAGTAGGGATTTAAGTAGCCACTAGAATCTTCTTCACAGAATTTCCCTTCCTCAGTATCTAACAGACTGATTTTTGAAAGTTAAAAAAAAACCACCAGTAGTAGTCAAAGACAGAGATACGGCCTAATGCGATGAGCTCTTAAAGGCTGGTGAACAAGAAAAGAAACAGAAGCTGCTCGGAAAGAGCAGAGAGCAGGGCAGAGCTAGACTCCTAACCCTGCTTCTCCCCACGCCCCCACCCCAAAAATCCATGTGATGAGAGAGGAAAAAACCCTGTAAACTCTTACTACCATTCCCAGGTCTGGAGAGAAAAACAGTAGGTCGCTTTATCTTTTCCTTTTTCTGACCTTGTTGTTGTTGTTGTCCTGTACCTTTGAGTCATTTTCTACTCATAGCAACCCCCGTGTGACAGAGTAGAACTGCCCCACAGGATTTTCTCGGCTGCAATCTTTGCAGAAGGTCTTTCTCCCAAAGAGCTGCTGGGTGGGTTGAAACTGCCAGTCTTTCAGTTAGCAGCCTAGCTTAACCATTTGCGCCACCCAGGGACCTGAGATAATCAGAGTTAATGGTAAAACATTAAGATTAAAGCATTATAGGGAAGCTACTAGGTATGGAAGATACTTTTTTTAATAATATTTTATTGTGTTTTCAGTGAAAGTTTACCCATCAAATTAGGTTCCCATTTGACAATTTCTACAGTGAGACAGGTTACATTCTTCACAACGTATCAACATTCTGTTTAACGGCATTCTGGTTGTTCCATTTCTCGTACTCTAGTTTCCCTACCTCCTTATCTTCTCATCTTTGCTTCAGAGTAATTGTTGACTTTTCATCTCATGTAGATGTTTTTTTAATGGAGCACCGTACTCACAGACAAGATCCTTTATTTTGTGAGCCAATCTGTTATTTTGCTAAAAAGATGATGTCAGGGGATATTTTGGTTCCAGGTTTAAAGAGTATCTCAGGGCCATAGTCTCAGGGAGTCCTTTAGTCTCAACTGGCCCAGTAAGTGTTTAAATCATGTGAATTCATTATATATTCAAAACATATTTTTAAACACTCTAGGAATGGTAGTTATCAAATAGAATGGAAATGTTATAAACCTGGACAACATTAAAAAAGTTATATAACTATTAACATTTGGAGTTGAGGAGAGGGAGACGGAAGGAGATCTGTTAGTGCTGATTTTCCAAAATAGTACCGTTAGACAATGTCTAAACTGGAAATGCACAGTTTAGAAAACACGTAATGCCTCCAACGCATTGCATAACCTCTTAATGTACTTCATAATCTTTCGGTGTATTTCATAATCTTTTAATCTGTGCTTCATCTCTTTTTTGAACCTTAGAAGATACTTTTATGGAACAATATTTCCTGTGACAAAGAAATATTTATTTGAAGTACAAGAATTCCTCCAGTTCAGTTTTCATTTTTTTCTTCTATTAACTTGGAGCAAAATTAAAATCAACAGTTTTAATAAAATAACGTGTATAATCCTATTTTAATAAAAGTATTTCTATTTCTTTTTTCTATCCCTGTATCCTTATAATTGGAAAGAAACGTGCCTGAAATAATGCATATCCATGTTAGCAATGGTAATTTCTGGGTGGCTGGGTTTTAAGGCAATTGATTTTTACTTTTTCATTTGTGTTTTCTGAATTGTTTTCATGATTTATAGTGAGCATGTAACATTTTTAAAAAATAGAATGATTCTTCTTTAATCTTGCATATGAGTATACACACTCACATACACACCCAGAGGAAGCAAATGCCTCAAAAGTTTTCCAGTGATTAATTGGAGTAGTGGAAATGTGACTGGAGAGTTCTTTTTTGTGTGCATCTGTCTGCATTTTAAGAATGTTTAAACAACGTTGAATTAAATAGTATAAAACTGTACAGAAAGTGAAAGTTGCTCCCCATTTGTATCCCAGTCCTTCCCTGGCTTCTTGTGTATCTTCACACAAGACACTTCTGTTTGGGTGCACATGAGGGACTATGGTCCCACTTCACGTCCAGGGTCTTAGGGAACTTCCATCTCTGCGCCCTGAGATCTACCACATTCTTTTTAATGGCTGCCTTCGATTTGTCGTATGAATGTGCCCTATTAAATTCTCCCGAAAGATAACAGCCTTGAAAATCCTATGAAGCAGTTCTACTCTAACGCACAGGGTAGCAACTATGTGTTGGCAACTAACAACAATACCTGAAGAAGGTTATCTTATTTAATCCCCCAACTAGCCTATGTATTATTTGCTTACTTGATAAATGAAGAAATCGCAAGGTTAAGTGAACTGCCCAGCGTCACACAGCTAGTTCGCAGCGGAATTAAAACTCAACCCCAGATCTGTTTGACTCCTGCCGCTCATGGTCTTCCCACACTGGCCTGCTGTCTGGTCCGTCAGCACCACACCTCACCCACCGTGACCGTGACCGTGTTGTTTTCTCTCCTAGTGGACGAGTGTACCTCTGACTACACAGTCGTGCTTCCGGTGATTGGGGCCATTGTACTGGGTCTCTGCGCTGTGGGTCTGATTGTCTATGGAGTCCGCCTGAGGCAAGAATCACCTGGATACCAGAGGCTCTGACTGGTGCCCGAGGAACAGAAATAATGGCATTTAGAGAATTCTTTAATCATCCCAGATGCTGGGGGCTTCCCTCACAGTGTGGGTTCTTCCAAGAACGTAGACCACCCTCCTCCACAAATACAGAGCCATTCTGATTTACTTTCGAGCAGCACATCGATTTCTCAACTCTTTTGTTCATGCTATGAAAGATTTAGTGAGCTGTTTAAGGGTATTTTCCAGTTTCCTTCAGAATATTCTAACCACTCAAAACGGTTTAAGATATATTAATTAGCATAATGTGTGTAACGTGGCACATGCCTTCAGATTATGGACCAAAATGTCAGTTGTCATTAATGCTACCTGTGTTTGCATTGGGGATTTTATTTTACCTTTGACTGTTTTCATTTTAGAGTATGCCATCTGCTTTGTCTACAAAACACACTTTCAGTGGTTTGATTATCTGTTTTATGTGATATCCATCTGCCTGGTGATGTACTTACCTCCTTGTCCGCTTTAAGTGTTTTTTTAAAAATCATCAAAAAAAAACACAACATACCACAGGATTTCTTAAGTTTTTTATGGGAAACCAACTAGAGGAACAAATCAGCTTACATTTGCTCTCTTGATGACTCCTGCTCCAGAATCACTAAAGACTAAGAATTAGGTGACTCAGGGGACAGGTTTAAATACTCATCAATAAACAGTACTGGTGGTCCTTATTTGTCCAGCACGTAGGAACCAGATGGTAACTGAGCAGTTTATACACATTTCATTTAATTCTCACAACTTGTAAATGGGTGAACTCAGACTTAAGGACATTAAACTGCTTAAATGTCCCCCAGCCAACAGGTGGTAGAACCAGGATTCAAATTCACGCTGATCTGGTACCAAGGCGTCTGCTCTTTTCACTGTACCTAGTTATCTATAAAGGAGCCCTGGTGGCACAGTGGTTAAGCACTCAGCTGCTCACTTTGAACCCACCAGCCACTCCTCAGGAGAAAGATGTGGCAGTTGGCTTCCATAAAAGATCTACAGCCTTGGAAACCCTATGAAGCAGTTTTACTCTGTCCTATAGGGTTTCTATGAGACGGTATCAACTTCACGGCAACGGGTTAGTTAACTCTAACGAGCCCTGGTGGTGCAATGGTTAAGCGCTCAGCTGCTAACCAACAGGTTGGTGGTTTGAATTCGCCCGGTGGCTAGACCAGGTGATCTGCTCTCGTAAAGGTTACAGCCTAGGAAGCCCTATGGGGCCGTTCCACTCTGTCACACGGGGTCGCGATGAGTTGGATTTGACTTGATGGCACCCAACAAGAAGAGTTGCTGGCAAGGACGATGATGCTAAGTGCTGCTGAAGCCTCACACCAGCATATGCTCCATTTTTACAGAGGAAGTGCATTTATCCAGAACTATAAGAGATGAGGGTAGAAGACAGGACGACTTTACAAATAATGAAAGAGTCTATCTTTAATTAGTAAACATCCCTACTCACTTGAAGGAGTCTGGGGTGAGGAGCTCTGTAAAACATTAAAGGTCATTTTCTCAAGTTCAAGGGATTCTTTAGCTGTAGCTCTAGAGATGAAGGAATGGACTAAACTTCTCGAGGTATTTTTCATTTCTTTGAAAATGAGAGAAATCGTCTCACCTCTTATGAACTTTCTCTCTTGAGTGTAGACCCCCCTCTTGTGGTAAATTGCTTCTTCTGCACTTTTATATTCACATTTTCTATTCTAGTTCCCTGTTTTCTGTAGAGACACAAAGAAACCAAACCCACTGCTGTCAAGTCAATTCTGACTCATAGCGACCCTATAGGACAGAGTAGAACTGCCCCATAGGGCTTCCAAGGCTGTAAACCTTTACAGAATCAGACTGCCACATCTTTCTCCTGTGGAGCAACTGGTGGGTTCAAAACGTTGGCCTTTTGGTTAGCAGCCAAGCGCTTTAACCACTGTGCCACCAGGGCTCCTTATTTCTGTAGAGCAGCCTGCCAGATATTTTAGTTCTGCTTGTCTTTACTGCCAAAGAGGGGAACTAAATCGGGATATTAATGGACAAGACCGTATCACCCTAAAATTCTTCAGAAAAGGAATAATTTAAGTCAACCTAGAGCATGTGTTGACTTCCCTGACTTGTTCCCTTATGAGTCAGTACAGCTGATGAGGTCCTGACTTTATTCTCAATTGAATTTTTTATTGTAATTAAGTTTTTGTAATAAAACTTATTTTGGAGAAGTGTTCTTGTCATTCATTTCTTATAATACTGTTTGTATGATGTGAAAAAAATTCTGTTTACGGTATTCTTAATGATAATGTGAAGGTGGTTGCTTGAATCAATACGTTACATCCTCTTGATTCTAACATGCTATTTGGTATTGTTCTCCATTGCTACATTATTACTAGGTAAGAGCCCATACAACAGAAACTCGATTCCTAAGAAAATAATCAGATTAAACTCAGCAATTAAACTAAATCTCTCGACTCGTAGTCTAAAGTCTCCGACTGCATCACTGGTTAACTTCAATGCTACCACAATTCATTCATGCATTCATTCAACCATGTCAATTAGACGGGTAGATACAGAGATGCTGCCGAGTCGGCTCTGACTCATGACAACCTTCTGTGCGACAGAACATCAATTAGATGGATAGATACAGAGATGCTGCCGAGTCGGCTCTGACTCATGACAACCTTCTGTGCGACAGAACATCAATTAGATGGAAAGATACAGAGATGCTGTCGAGTCGGCTCTGACTCATGACAACCTTCTGTGCGACAGAACATCAATTAGATGGATAGATACAGAGATGCTGCCAAGTCAGCCGTGACTCATGACAACCTTCTGTGCAACAGAACATCGATTAGACGGATAGATACAGAGATGCTGCCGAGTCAGCTCTGACTCATGACAACCTTATGTACGACAAAACAAAACGCAGCCCCGTCCTGTGTCGCCTTTGGGATTGCCGGCACGTCCAAGTCCATGTGTGGCTGTTGTGTCAATTCATCTCACTGAGTGTCTCCCGCGCCCTCACTGGTCAGACGACATTCTGTTGTGATCCCGGAGGTTCTCATAGGCTAATCTTCAGAAGTGGATCTCCAGACTTTTCTTCCTAGTCTGTCTTAGTCTGGAAGCTCCACTGAAACCTGTCCACCATGAGTGACCCTACTGGTATTTGAAATACAGGTGGCATAGCTACCAGCATCACAGCAACACGCAGGCCACCAGAGCAGACAAAGTGACAGACGACCACAGATGACAGACTGACAGACGTGTGGTTTTTAACATTGAGAAAGTACTAAATGTCAGATGGAGCCCTGGTGGCTCAGTGGTTAGGAGCTTGGCTCTTAACCAGAAGATCAGTAGTTCGAATCCACCAGCCGCTCCTTGGAAACCTTATGGGGCAGTTCTGCTCTGTCCCATAGGGTCTCTATGAGTCCAAACCGACTCGACAGCAACAGGTTTGGGTTGGTTAAATGCCAGACACTTGGTAAAGGCTGAGATGAATTTTAAAAAGATCCTGTATTAGCTATTTATAGCTGTATAACAAACTATCTTAAAATTTAGCAGCTTAAAACAGCAAACATTTATTATTAAGGGTCAGGAATCTGGGGCAATGTTCCTCCAATGGGGATATCACAACATAGGCCCCTGGCATTCCAGAGCAAGGTCATGCCACTTGCAGCAGAGAATACTTGCCCTTTAAGAAACAGCTCTTGTCATCTGACTGGGTCCTGAAACCCTAGGCTGTGGGACACTATCTTAGTCTGGTCCTCTGGAGGAGCAAAACCAGTAAGGTGTATATACAAATAAAGAGAGAGATTTCCTTCAAGGAAATGGCTCACGCAACTGTGGGGGCTGACAAGTCCCAAATCTGTGGGTCAGGCGGCAGGCTGAGCACATGTCCCGGCTCATGGGGTTGTGGGAGCTGGCGAATCCAAAATCTGCAGGTCAGGCAGCAGGCTGAAGATTTCTGCAGGCTTACATCCCAAGAACTGGAGGTCAGGCAACAAAAAGAGCGCAGGGTCAAGAGAGAGAGCTTTGCCAGAACATCCATTTATATACTGGATGCAGGCCACGCCCCAAAGGAAACGCTCCTTTCAACTGATTGGCTGCTTACATCAAATCACAAAATGGAAAGTGATTACACAGTGTCTGCTAAGCCACTGAGAATCATAGCCTAGCCAAGTTGATGCATAACATTAACCATCACAGATACCAAGTAACTATATATCCAAAACTGTCTATTTTGAGCTGGGTTCTGTCAAACCCAGAGCCCTGGTGGCACGGTAGTTAAGAGCTCAGCTGCTAACCAAAAGGCCAGCCGTTTGAATCCACCAGCCACTCATTGGAAACCCTATGGGGCAGTTCTGCTCTGTCCTCTAGGGTCACCATGAGTCGGAATCGACTCAATGGCAGCAGGTTTGGTCTGTCAAACCCACTAAGCTATGAAGTTGGACAGGTCTAGCACTAGACAGCCATAAGATGGAAATGTTGCATCCTGGGTCGGGCCAAGACAGGACCAGAGTGTATGAGTGAGCTGCAGGACCAGGAAGCCCAGATCCCCATACCTCCCACCAGAGTTGCACCAGTGCCCCTCCCTGGCTTACACCTGTTTATAGGTGTAATCTTTATAGGAGCAGATCACCCAGTCTTTCTCCCAAGGAGCTGCTGGGTAGGTTTGAACCACCAACTTTTCAGTTGGCAGCTGAGCACTTAACTGTTGTGCCACCAGAGCTCCCTGAGTAAATATATCTTTCATATAAAGATTACAGCCTAGAAAACCCTATGAGGCAGTTCTACTCTGTCACATGGGGTTGCTGTGAGTCAGAATTGACCCAACAACACCCAACAACAACATGATAGATGAGCTATGGTATATTATTATGGTTTTAATTTGCATTTCTCTCATTTTGTACAAGGTTAAGTGTCATATTCACTTATATTTCCTATAATGTGAACTCTTTATTTGCCTATTTTCTCTTTCATTATAGATCTTTCTTTCTTTTTGATTTGTAGGTACTCCTTATCCATTAAGAAAATTAGCCCTTAAGAGTTGCAAATTACAGAAGTTTTATGTAATTGAACTTACCAAAATTTTAATAGCTTCTGAGTATTGTGTTTGTGTGTGCATGCTATCTTTCTCAGATTTTGGTTTCAGTATTCTCCTTACGTCATAAAAGAATTTGGAAGACGTCGTCCTTTTCTGTACTCTGGGACAAAATTAATATCATTGGAGTCAATTACTGTTTGTGTGGAATTCCCTTGTGAGACAATGGGGGCCACGGGGCTTTGGGGCGGAAGTGAAGGTGGAAGAGAGTGGTTGTTCTTCGATAATATTCTCTAGTTCTTCTACGGTAATGGTTCACTTAGATTTTCTATCTTTTCCAGGGATATTTTCTTGTAACATCATTCTTTTCATCCACATTTTTAAGTTTATTTGCTTAGAGTTGAGTAAAAAATTGTGTCTTACAAATCTACATTTTTTCCCTATATCTGTGATTTTTTTCTCCACTTTACAGTTTTTTTTAAATCGTGGCAAGTGTGTCCCCCCCCCCCTTTATTTTTGGTTAGATTATCTGTTTTATTAGCTTGGTTTTTCTTTGAATCCTTGGATTTATTAGTCATTTGATATCAGTTCTCTTAAATCATTCATTTCTTTCTTCCTCTTCCCTTACATTTCTTTTGAATTCTTTTTCTAACCCTTTGAATTGGATGTTTAATTTACTTGCACTACGGATTGTCTTACGAGTCCTTCTTTAGCTATATCAAATAAACATCTAGATGCAGTGCTTTCATTATTTTCTAGTCAGCAATTTCGGTTTTGATTTCCTCTTTCTCCCAAGAACCAATTAAAACACTTTTTTTTTAGTTCAAGTGATTAAAAGTTTTTTATTTAAATTGAAGTTGTTGGGTTTTTTTTTCCATTTTTGAAAGCACTGGAGAATTTTACATCTCGGTCTCCATTTGACCATTTTCCCATGACCCCGCCTCTCCCTCTCGGTGGCGGCTTTAAGGATAAAAGGTCACGAGGGGGACTCTTCTCCTAGAACTGGAATAGAGCGACGGAACCTTGCAGGCCCCGACAGAAAAGAGCCGTCAAGATACTCCACGGGCCTAAGGAAGCTGAGGGTCCAGGAGAACCCTGGGGTCGAAGAAGCCGGGAACACACCCCCGCGGGTACGCAGCCTGATTGGCCGGAGCGCTGCTCCTTTCTTTGATTGGTTGTAGCGGAGACCACCTCCCCCTCCCCCCGTCCACTCAAATGCCGCATGTGGATTGGCCTATTGCTTGACTCTGCCCTCGACGGTGGCCGGCGGAGGTCAAGACGCTTGCGGAGGGAAGGGTTTGCGGCGTGAGACTCAGCTCCTGGGCGAGGGAGTCGGAGAGCAGCTGGACTCCAGAAACATGGCGGCGGCCTCTGCGGTGTCCATGCTGCTGGTGGCGGCGGAGAGGAACCAGTGGCAGCGTCTCCCGAGCCTGAGGCTTCCGCCGAGGTCACGACAGGTGGAGGGGCGGCGGGTCAGCGCCCGGGGTGGGGCGTGGGGCGTGGGGCGGGAGGTGCGGAGAAGCCAGGCTCGGGGAGTCGGAGGGGCCGGGAGGGGAAGCCGCGGCGTCGGGGCCAGCGCACCCCCAGCCCTTCCCTCTTCCCCGTCTGCACACCCATCCTGCAGCCCGCCGCTTGCCTGGTTTCCGTGGAGGAGCCGGGGAGCGGGGAGCGCTCGGCTGCTAACCGGAGGGTCGGCGGTTCGAACCCACCAGCCGCTCCTTGGAAGCCCTGTGGGGTCGGCGTCCACTGGCAGGGGGGTTGGTTTGGGTTTTGTGGCGTTGTCATCTGCTGGAAGCTTGTTGTGCCGGGCACAGTACAGTGCCAGAAGCTCCTAAACGGTATTGTTTTTCGGCACCGTGCGTGGCTTAGGGCGCCGTGGTTGCGCAGTGATTAAAGCGCTCGGCTGCTAACCGAAACGTCGGCCGTTCGAACCCACCAGCCGCTCCGAGGGAGAAAGATGTGCACTCGAGTCGGACTGCCCCACAGGGTTTCCAACCGGCCGAGCGCTTAACCACCGCGCCACCAGGGCTCCCCGTAAAGATTACAGCCTTGGAAAGCCTATGGGGCGGTGCCCTGCAGGGTCGCCAGGAGTCGGAGCCTACTGGACTGCAGTGGGTTGTGGGGAGACGGGAGGAGCGGGGCTGCCACGTCGGGGCTCCCCTCCCTCTGCGGCCGGAATACTGTTGGTGCGGTTTGTGCAGCTCCTGACCCGGTGCAGCCCCCTTTCACAGCATCCCCGTGTGGGGAGCGTTGTTGACCCAGCTTCTTAGAGGCCCAGAGGGGCTGGACGACTTGCCCCGGGTTACACCAGTAAGAAGCGGAATACGATGGCTTGCAAGCCCCTTGCACTTCAGCTGTCCCCATCCCACTTCAGGTGTCCAGTCCAGAGAAAGACTCCCGGAGTTCTTTCTCACTGTTACAATGAATCAAGCTGACAAAAGCTAATTTAACTTCCAGAGAACTGCAAAAGTTATTTTGCCGACTGCCCTTGTGCTCGAGTTTAAACAAAACTGACAGATGGCTCACTAGCCAGCTCCACTCCAGATCGGTTTCCGATTTTGAGCTCTAAGCGTCAGTGACAGCCCTTTGGCAGGTGAAGGCATCCTCCTGCTGCCAGGTAGCGGGTTACTTTTTCTTTCTCTGCTTCATCCTTATCATCATCATCATTCTAGAAAGACAGGTATAGCTTAGTGCTGAAGGGCTTAGTATTTCCGTGCCTCAGTTTCCTCACCTGTAAAATGGAGCTAACCATGGATTATGAGAACTGAATGAATTAATACGTGCAGAGAGTTTAAACAGAATCTGGTCCATAGGAGTGAATTCAGAGAAGTAGGCTAACCGTTGAGAATAACTCAGGAGCGGTGTTTTTGTGCGCCTATGTACGCTAGCCATGTGCATGTTGGGCAGTTTTTTGCTGCTGTCTGGAGCAAAAGCTGTTTAGAATTTACAGGATTTCAAAGCTTCCTGCTCAGTTCTCTGTAAACTACCAGAAACGGGGGCGGGGGATGGTAGGACCAATCACAACAAAGAAGAAATAAGCCCCTGTTTTATTTATCTACTGCTGCTATAGCAGAAATACCACAAGTGGGTGGCTTTAACAAACAAATTTATTTCCTCACAGTTTGGGAGGCTGAAATTCCTAATTCAGAGTGCCAGCTCTGGGCGAGGTTCCTTCCCTCTTCAGCTTCTGCTTCCTTGGAGATCTCCATGTGTCTCGGCATCTATCTTATCCCATCTCTCCTCCACTGTTTATATCTCAAAAGAGATTGATTTAAGACACACCCTATACTAATCCTGTCTCATTAACATAACGAAGAAAACCCATTTCCACATAAGAGTATAACCAGGAGCATAGAAGTTAGGGTTTACAACACATGTTTTTGAGAGACATAATTCAATCCGTAACAGCCCCTGAAGAGTCTTTTTGAAAGAACTAAGGCTGTTTGCCTTGGAGGTGAAAGCAGTCTTCAAATATTGGAAGGGTGTCTTTTGAAACAGTCAGTAGACTTGTAATTTATAACTCCAGGTACCAGGCTAGAGCCACTGGGAGAGGCAGTTCCTTAGTGATTTATTATGGAAATGTTCAAACAGAAGTAGAGAGAATAACGCCAGGAACGTCTGTGTACTTATCATCCAACTGTCTGTCTTCACTGAAAGAGTGCTTGAGGCCATCAGTGGCCTTGAAACTTAACCAGGTTATTAAACTGCATTTTCCGAGAAGCAGCCATTATAGACACATGTGCCTGGGATAATGCTCGAGTCTTATCGAAACCTGTCTGAAGAGTGTGATGGGAAGAAGATGCCATGATCTGGAAAACACCCTGTGAAGATCGGGAGAGATGTTCCCTTTCCTTAAAGGTCGTGAAAGTGGATCAGCTGAATCTGAAAGATGTGGGAGAGCAGCAGGGTCCCGAGGAGGCCGCCTTGTGGGACTCAGGCACCGGAGCTTTGGGGGGTCCTACCAGCCCCGAAGGCATGGCAGCGTCTGCTTGAGTGTGCATGATAGGACCGTGAGTGTGTGGACCCTCCACAGCAGTCCTGCCTCCTGTAGCTCTGCCCCGGTGAGGTGCTCCTCCTGTTCAGTAACAGTCACAGTAACCCTGCCTCCTGCAGCTCTGCCCCGGTGAGGAGCTCCTCCTGTTCAGTAACAGTCACACACAGTAACCCTGCCTC